TTCTGGAGAAATGTAAGCAGTTCCACATCCAGAGGAGTGAAGAGACATCCTAGTTCTTCATCAGATACAATGTATGGGACAAGAGGACAGCAGTTGTCATTCAGTGATAATGTATGCARCACTTCAGGACATATCCATTGCATAAAATGTAATGTTAAGGTATAAATCTGAAATTTGTAGACTAAGTGGAAGCTATGGTCTTTGATCTCATGAAAGAGTTTGTCAGATCCTTGAGGCTGTCATCCTAGTCTGGTTTCCAAAAAAAGGKAATATGGCATATTTCCACTCATACGGCATATTTCCTTGCCTGCTGACTATTCTCAGAGCAGCCAGTAGATACTGTGGAGTCAATCACAAATAAGAAAGTATAAAAGAAGCAGGAAGATAAGTAAGACATACTGTGTGGCAGTGGTGGCAAGAYCAGCAGCATGCTACTGCTATCTACATGATACAGATAAATGGCAGCGTGCCGTATCTAGTGGGTCACTGATTGGCTCCATTAGGAAGGAAAATGTTTGTTATACTGTTTTCATCACACAGTTTGAAACACATGCCTGGAGAGGACATTTGATCTACAGGACCAGTCTGAAGTTAGTCTGAAGTAAACACCTTGAACTACAGCTGGMATGTATTCAACTGTTTTTACGGATCCATTCCTATTGTGCCACATTACTTACAGAACATACACTACCCATTTGTACTTCAGACTTGAAAAATTTTTGTGTTATGYTAGATTCTAACACTTTTTTTCTGTCCTTATGGTTAAAGATCTTGCAAGTTGTGCGATGAGTGGCCTCTCTTCGAACCAGGACAATAATTCCCAGAGGCATTAGAAGCAGGGAAAACAGCAGAGCAGAAAGCACTTCCTTTGAATCCTGTTTTTCATCTTCACTTCCAGCAAACCAGAAACAAGAAGTCACAGTCAGAAAGGGTCATGAACATTATGCAGCATCTCCTAGCTCTGGAAACTGTCTTAGGAATGGAAGTGCTAAATGGGAGGTAACTAAACACCAGGATTTAAATCAGCTTGCTGAGCTCTGCGTGTCTAAGCCAATAGCAATACAGCAAACACATGATGTGATCTTTATTACATACACAGTGTAGGTAATGAGCACATACAYGGTACGTTCTGTTTTCCAAAATGCCAGACTTGCTGTGTTTGCACAAGAGTGTTAAGATACGAGTAATAAGTCCAGCACCTTTTGGAAGCAGAGCTTTATCACTCTTCTATCACCACTTGCAGACAGGATGTGCTCATAGTCTGCTCAAATCCTACTTGTCTCGTTCTGCAAATTACCCAAGAAAAGAGGATGGCTGCCTGCACACCACTGCGATTCCCAAACCTGCTTTGTGCTGAGACCTCTCTGTGCAGGAGGGAACATGCTGCTTTAAGAATAGCTCTGAAGCCAGGAGAAAGCTGCTCTCAGCTAACATCTTCCTTCCATCTGTCAAATGAGAGCATGTGTTCCCATTATATGCTGGGAGAAGGAGCCATACACTGAGCATCCCACACAAAACCAATATTTTTTCTCAGATAAATTCTGAGATAAGCTAGGATAATTGTCATTAAAAAGGAAACCTTTAGAGGAACCCTGTGAGAAGYCACTTGCATGTAGGTCTGGGATGCTGAAATAGCTTGAAAATGTTCCTTAGGTTCTCCATGTAGCTTAAAGGCCACTAAAATTTTATGCCATGGCTGCTATTATTTTCTTAGTCAATTAAGCATACACTGCACACAATTCTTTACTCAGTATTTTGTTTTTTTTGTCAAGGTATTTGCAACTTCTGTATGTTTTTATAAGTTGTCTCCACTTCTCAACATATCTGAACTTTCTTTTAATAAAGCATATGAAGTCCTTCTCCAAACATTTATTGATTTCACTTTTTCATGAAAAATCTTTAATGCAATATTAAYGTCTTCTATGAAATTTGCTTTAAGACTGATGTAATGTATAAAGTACTTCCATTTCAAGAATCAATTTTGCAARTGATATTTCTCTCAGACTGTCTTACTTTATGTTAAAATAAGCCATAAAGTGCTCTGGTAAATATTAATGGGAACCTTGAATAACTTAAATTACATTGTTACAAGATGAAGATTAGAGCTACAAGGTCTAATCCCACAAATACAAAAGGTATTTTGGAAAGAGGAATTCAACTGAAAGGTTTCAACCCTACCTACCTGCTGGTGAATATACCAGTTTTCCCTCTTATGAAATATTCTTCTCAAATACAGAATATCATGGGAAAAAATTATGAGAAATMCAGGTAAACATATCCTTTTATACCAGTTAAATATGGTGTAAGAGACTACAATGCTTAATTAAGCTATATGTGGTCAGAATGTGGTAATTTTCCCTATTTAAACCTACTTCAGGCTCTAGAGAATAGTTCCTAATCAGGATACTGGCGTCTGACATCTAGAATTCATCAYTCTTTAGGAAGGCAGCAATTACGAGTGAAAAAGACAGCCTTTCTTTTCAGCTACTAAATACCTGTTGCATTTCTGTGCTTTAGAGATGAATATTTATCAAAATAACAAAAAGAGATTTTAAAAAAGGTATTTTAAAATCTTGACTATAGATTTGTTGCTGGATTTTTACCCTCTAAAGTTATTCAGTGCTGCCTGGCACATTAAAGAAGTATTGTTCATTAGGTGTTTTTTAAAGCACTTAACTTCCACCTCAAAATACAAGCTAAAAAGTATCTCAAGATAGGAAACATTATTAGTAAAACTAAAAATAACATCATCAGCGAGGTCATTAAGTAATAAAACACGAGGAGTCATCAGGATTTAAATTGAATGAGAAACAGAAAAGAGGTACACATTCAAAACAAACAAACTAAAAGAATTTTGTTTAATGAGATTCAAATTAGTGGGACTCCAATTATGGTTTGAGGTCTTAATATATTTAGATGGCATGCACTATTTTGAATGCATGATGATAGAGCTGAGCTTATCAACACACAAATAGATGTACAGCAATGTTTCATGGTTTGTTCCAGGATGTGAAAAYGTTTGATATCTTTAGCAAGCTGTTGTGAATACAAGAAGAGTGTGTTACATTAGATAAAACTTCCCATGATCCCAATTTTTGGCCTTTATAACTATTCAGAAGAATTCATGTTTATATAGGAAATTATGTATTTTTCCTATGTAAACTGTCTTACATTCCTGCATCATTTATGTGGAGAAACGTGATGCACAGCTTCAGCTTGCAACAGCCTTTGTTTGGGTGCAACATCCTTGCATCAAAGACATTAAAAATGTGGTCCTTAGGGMCTGCTTATTTTAGCTCAGCAGGGAAGATGCTAAAAACTTTTTCTCTGGTGTTTAGCCGGAGATTTGCTTCAAGCTTCAAGCCTATCCTGTGCTACTGAATTATCTTTGGTTCAGAATTCTTCCGAGTAACTGCATAACCATCTTGTTCTCAACTAGTTTGAAGCATTCCTCTAGATCTTGAATCTGTCCTCTTTTCTCACACTAAGCAGATTTTGAAAGGACTGTTATAGTTTTATAACAGAATCTGGTCTCAGCATTAGCAAACTCCCCCAAAGCAGACAATATTGCAATATCTATAAACATCAGCCATTGAGTGCCGATAGCACTAATACGATGGTAGATTAACAATCAATTCATTAACTTTGAAGAATGTAAAACAAGAACACAAGAAAGCTGATCTAAATAGTATGAAAAAACAGAATAAATATATCATCAGCTATGAGCTCAGCTAAAGACTACAAAAAAAATGTCTRAATGATAGCGTTGCTGAAAAATTAATAAATTCATAGATAAACCTCTAGTATCTTTTGTAATTCAGCAAATGCTACTTTTAATATCCTACTTATTGTGCCATCTATCTCATCTGTCTAATATGGTATGTGGAAAATTATTATCTTTAATGGTTTTTGATGTTTCCATGCACAGACTCAGACTGTAGTATATATGGATTGACTAACACCTGCAGATACAGGAATTGCTTCAAAACTTTTAATTTTCCCATACAAAAGAAACCCTTGTGCCCTTTTACAAGTCATCCATCCCGTAAGCCCTGATGCATCAAAAAGCCTTTTCCAACAAGGTCAGCGTCATGCTCCAAACTGAAAGTCCTTTAATAACTCCTGCCATTCTCCAGTATTATGAGACTTCAAGTGGACTAAACTCTATTTACTCKGTTATTTCACACGTGCTGCTACCAGAACACTCAGTGCACTTTATACTTGGTGTTATTCCTGCCCTAGTATTTTGCCTGAAGTATCAGCATCACATATGACAGCCCTCTGAGCCTTRCTGGTATCTGCTATTGGTCATTCAKTATAAGGTTTTCCAAATTAAAGTAGTAAATTTCCAAGCTAGGTCCACTGTCTCTCATTTGAAATGGTAGAAGAAACCTCCAGTGATATATTCTGGTATGCATAATATTCTATCACTGATTTTAAAATCTATAGTTTAAATTGGCTAGCACTAAAAATGATTGGGAAAATGACTGCAAGTTTTTCTGWCCACAGCTGAGAGGCAAAATTCAAATACACAGCAGAAAATTAAATAGGAAACCTGCAGGAAGTCTTTGCATCTCATATGAAAGGCAGGTATTAGGAAACAATGTTCCCTCCAATGCTTTTAAGAATAGTTATATAAGGGGCAAAGTATTTCCAAGGCAACTGCTATGCAAAGACAGACAATCTGGGATTCATGGACAGCCTTATTTACACATATGTAATGGCAGTCCATAAATAGGCTGAAAGGCCMAAAATAATTCAAATAAATTCTACACAGCCATCACTTCAAATTACAGCTTTTAGTTTCTGKTTTTTTGTCAACTGCATCTATACAAAGCGAGTCCAATGCAATGACATTATTTTGTGCCATATTTGCATATGCAAAAAACATGTCTACAAAATCAGTACAGTTACGTTTATCTCCATTCAAAAAAGTGTTTTAAACAATGTGAAAACTGCAGGGGTTAGTTCTCTTGCTTGTACAATAACAGAAACTATACCTTTGGGAGAAGCTGGATTGCTTGGAGTATTCTCTGTCTGTGCCCAGAGTTAAGGATTCCTATTTCCAAGAGATCCTGGTCCTCCATCACGTTGCTTCCCTAAAAATGGGAAAAAAAAGGTGGAATAAAAATGAAAAATTTAACAGATGCTTTCAACAGCCTGAAACAGACCCTTCTGTCACATTTAAAAGAGAACACTTTTCTTAACTTATAGGATCTGACAGGAGGAACAAATTACTGATGATTGCATTCATTTTCACAAWGAAAATGTATGGTGGAAGGAGCATGAACCCATGGACAATCACTGTACTGCTGGCAGCACTGCCGGTGGAGAAATTTTAGCTCTTACTCAAGCCAAATACCAGATGTGAACATTCTTTCATTTGACTGGAATGAAGGACATGACTACAAAAATGTTCAGAAACTCTCTGTTCTTTTCAATTCACCTCCTAACTCACCTAGCTATGTATGACGTTCATTTTTCTCCAGATTGAAAAAAATTCAACCCAGAATAAGATGAGGAGAGTGGATGAAGATAAAATTATTTAGTTCATTGATAACAAAACAATGAAGAAAGGGACAAGTATCAAAAAAGCCTATGCAGTTTCCATCCCCCTAAATTTCACTGCAACGGTTCAATCCTAACTTGTCAMTGCTTTTATCTTTCTGCTCGTGGGCAGGTCAAGTAGTTCCAGACATTCAAACAGCTGAAAAAGACCATATGTTCAAATAATACACAACATAATTGCCCAGAAAAGTTCATGAAATAAACCTCCACAATTCAAGCTTTAGGAGTTGTTTGCAGTAGGAGCTACACAAGCAGGATAATACAATTCCTAAATTCAAGAACTCTGACACAACATAGTAAGTTCAGCATTTGAAGGTCAATGATCTAATGAGCTCACAGCAACTATTGGAAGCACAAAAGTGGCACAAAAGGTAAATTGCAGCCAGGGGTCAAGTCAGGATTGTTGGCAATCTTTTATTCTTTTCTTACCTCTTCATTTCAGACAAAAACTCAGTTTTTGTTTAAATGTATCTAATTTTTAAAAGGCTTGTAACTACTACAGTTGAAAACAAAACCTGAATAAACAGATGATGTGTCTTGRTCTCTTAGCCCTGTTGGAGTCTCATGACACTAACTGGCTAGAAAGAAGAATTTTTATTTGTACTCATTTAATTTGATCATGAAATAGGCTTTATGCAAGCAAATCCATGAAAACTTCATCTCTGCTTTTCCATTTGCTCCTTCTAACTTAGCACAGCTTTTAYGAAGCAGCAAAATGAAAAGCAAATAGGCTCATAACAGAACATGCTTAAATACTTTGCTGAGTCAGGGCTTAGTAAAGGATATGATTTATTTCTGAATATAAAATCTCCTGTCCCAAAGCAGCATGGATTTATTTCAAAAATCACACTGGAATATGCAACACTTCCCTCTGTTCAGCTGCTAAATCTTCACTCTTTTCAGATGGACTGATTAGTTTACAGGTGTACCCTTGAGGACTCTCAAGTGTTAGTCCATGGAGCACACTGTAAAAACTAGGTGATGTCTTTTTAAGGGAATCTTGGAAGACTTGCAAAGCTATTATATTTTAAATCATGTTTTACAGTAAGTGGTATGATTTAAGACTGCAAGCCTGCAAATCACACCCTGAAACACTCTGTGTGCAGCATTCAGAACAGGGCAGGCAGAAACCTGTTCTACAAGGAGAAGCTGTGCAATGATGCCCGTTTAAGTAGATCCCCTGGTGTAGGAGTATGTGCAGCACAGGCTGTGCAAACAGTGATAGTGATGAGGTAGGGGTAATATCTCCCTGGCAAACACGTAAAAAATACAATTTCCCCTTTCTGCCTTTCTCTTTTAAATAACCAAAAGGAGGCTGTAAACTTACAGGAGAAACTCTTCAACAAAGCCATCCATTTTGGGCTGGATTCTCCAGCTGCTGGCAATGGCTAGCACAAATTGATTTAAGGAAACCGAGCCAACTGAGAATCCAGTCTAAAACAAAGGCCTTACACTTCCATTCATTTTAATAAATGTTTACAGMTATTGCTTTCACTTTATTTCACTGTTTTTTAGATTTCACCTTCATTACTGCATGATGTTTACACACAATCATGGTGTACTCATCATTGTTTACTTGTGCCAGTAATGCTGGCACACAGCTTCAAATACAGCAATGTTTAAAACTCAATAAAATAAACAGGCACAGGAAAAAWCCTATATTTGCATATAGTTGCTGCATAGCAGAGAAAGCATTATTTTATTAATTTTTTGCTATTGTTTTTTCCTTATATATTACTTAATGTATTTTTTTCAAAGTATGTCAAGGTTACAAGTGCAAATACTTAAAAGTCAGGAGAGCCTGGAATTCATGTTGATTTCTCGTTCCCAGTCTAATAAGGCAAAAACTTTGTCTTTCAATGTGCCCAGGTTTTAGAGCTTTTGCTGTGTCACCATTAAGCATCAAGGCAGCAGACACTCATCCTTCCTGTAAAACTGATTTGTCTTCTGCCATGGAGCTAAAACAACTTTACACCTTTCTGCAATAGCAAACCAGGAAAATTTAGATACTTTGTATCATCCATTATTGCTTAGCACAGATGAATAGACTCATAGTAGTAGAAAGCTGCTGTTTGGTTTGCAGAAATAGCTGTGAGGAGAAAGAAAGAGTCTATCCTCCACAGTCCTATCTCCCTAGTATCTGCTCCCATTGGCCCTTTTTCCCTGGTTTTTTTTTGGTTTTTTTTTTTTTTTTTTTTTTTTTTTTTTTTTTTTTTTTTTTTTTTTTTTTTTTTTTTTTTTTACCTGATTACTGCTCTTGAGCTCCTCCAGTCTCCTTTCAGAAACTCCTACACAGAGATTGAAGAAAACCTAACTTCTTTCTGCAGCCAAGTAGATACAGGGATACAAGGGGAGAAATTCCCTCCCTCTGTTATAAGCTGGGCCAAATGTAACCTCAATTAACTTTACAGAGATGACATGGTGAATGCAATTAAAATGAATATGAATACAAGACTGTCTTGTTTCATTATTTCATCCTTAAAAACAGTTGAGCTAAAACATTCACCAAAAAGACATCATCCTAGTAGACACCTAGAGAATTTGAGTCTAAAGATTTAACTTTTATATCCTTACATACAAAACAGATATTATAACAAGACACACAGGACAGCAATCTCTACTGAGCTTATTATGCTTTCTGTAATGAAAACGTAAGAGACTTTGGGATAGGGTAGTTTCTACAGTTTATAGAAAAACTTACTTGGAAGGAAAACTTGGAATTGAAGCCATAAGAATACATCAAAATTGCTTTATACAAGGACATTCAGATCGCATTCACTTCAGTTTACAGTGTTCAAATTCCTGTCTTGTTAATCCATAATAGGCTTATGAACTGGAAAGATCCTGCTTCTGAAATTCCAGTTAGGAAAGAGTCTATCTGAAACCCTCCACCCCCCGGATTTTTGGTTCTGCACAACTCCCAGGATCATCATCTTTTTCCCTGTACGTGCACACAGGAAGCCAATCTCCTGAGTAAGAAGGCAGTAGTTTCACAGAACAGTTGGGCTCAAGAACGAAGGAAAAACAACTCTGCATGTGGGAGACTGCAGGCATATGAAAAACAACATAATTTTTAAAACCCAGAAATTTTGCCAAATTCTGAGATAGTTCCTATAAATAAGTTCAGAACAAAATGCATAATGATACCTTATGATACAAAGATGTATTTATCCAGGTTGTTCAATACAAAATCACCTCTGGCATTCTCCACCTAAATACAGTCTTCCCCAAAAGTTCTGGATTAGAGTTAAGCACCCATATGCATTCTACCTCCTGCAGCAACAAAGGAACTTTGAAGATTTGTCCCTGAAGATAATAAAATATGGTGATTAAAAGAACATATCAGAATGGCAGTATGACTGGAATGTTTCCCATTCCTCCTTTTGTACCAATGTTTTTAATCTTCCTTCATATATTTTCTGTGCTGGAGAACTATCATGAAAAATTCCAATGTCTGCTTCTGTCACCTAAGTAAAATGGTACAGAAGCTTTAAAATAGCGGGCAGATGTATCACCAGACTTATCTGAAAATTCAGCCACAGAAGTTGGAAGAGATGAGCTGTGGGGAACAAAAATTCTGACTGGAAAAAGAGAACAAACTGATTTTGCATTTAAAGCTTTCTTTCTCCCCTGCAAAGGAAAAAGACAGTTACATAAGAAATAGAAGATTTGGGGGACTTTGGGCTATAGGCTGGTAACACAAACTTAACCAGTTCTTTCTGTGTTCACCTGGCTCAGCAGAGGAGGAAAGGTAGTAAATCTGGTGCCTAAAGCTGTGTAAGAGCTGCTGCTCAACAGACTGAGCTGAAGTCATTTCCGGCGCAGCCATTGTTGAGACCAAGGTCAGCTGGAGATACCAAGTGCTATTGGAGGTAGCAACTACTTCTGGTAACATTTTATGTCTCTGATATACTGGAAACTAGTTTGACAAAGAACAGGATTGGTGTGGGTAAGGGAAGGATGACTTCTGAGGTGAGTACAGGGTTGATGGGGCAGCAGTGGTGATTGCATCACTCCCAATGTRCAGGGAGCACTTCACACTCTTTTGACCCTCCCAGCCATCCCCGTAGCAATCTGCTGCATCATCAACATAAAGAGATCAGAAGGGACTCTGAGGAGCTCGTACAGGTGGCATCTAGCACACAGCAGTGGGTAGGATGATGGTGTGTGTGTGACAGACAAGGTCTAGTGGGTGTTTGAAGTGCCTTGCCAATGTCTCTGCCAAAGGGAATTGCACTGAGCTGCACCCTGGCTGGCTGAGACCTGGCACTGCCAGGGCACAGCTGGGGCATTGCAGTGGGCTTGGGCCTCCTCATACTTCAGCTTACAGGGCTGCTGGAAATATGAGTTGGCACAGAAAATAAAGTCTGCTGGGTTGAACACTCAGCTGCAGCACCCGAGAGCACCATCATTCCTGTCACTCAGATAAGAGAGGTGGGAGCAGGGCAGGAGCAGACGGGAATTCTTCCATTACACATGGTTGGAGACTGAAGTCAGAGACAGAAAACTGAGATCAACAGCACCAAAGAAC